ACAGGAACTTCGCTTGTTGGTACTCGGGTGGGAGGGAACCAACGAAGTGGGCGAGAACGAAGGGTTGCTCAGCATTGAGCCCTTTTCCGCGCAGGCGGGCATACAGCAGCTCGAGTGAGTAGAGGTGCTCGATGGGGTTGCTGTGGCTGTGTGTGGGGATTGCAATGTCGAACATCTTCCGCATCAAGGTCTGTTTTGACATCTGTGACTCCGGATCGTACTCCATTTCCAATTCCGTGAGGACCTCTTTCGCTGACGTACAGCAGTTACTGATAATTGCTTTTTCAGCTTCTTTTACCATAGCAGTGGTGATAAATGGAACGCCTGAAGCCCTCGATGGACTTCTGCTCTCGTGTGCCCCCATCGGAGCAGTTCAGAGTCGGCAAGTTTGGGTCGCCCACGGGGATATTGCTCTCTGTACCTCCTATAAACTGCCCGTCCAAGTCGATGATCTTCGCAGCTTGGATGAACGATTTTCGCCACGAATCAAATCCGTGGCTACGGCTTTTTCCGTCTAGAAGCGGGGCATTGACCGTCACTCTTTTCTGGTGGCTACTGCTGTAGCCGTCGAGGTATTATACATTTCCTCGAATCACGGGTATCTCACCTGGGGGGTGTAACCCCCTCGCTTCCCCATAGTCCGGTCCTATGCCCGGGCCCACTCCGGCTGGTCTCGCAGGATTCGCTCCCGATTTGCTGGCCCAGCCGCCTTCCAGCAGCTGCCGTATTCCTTGCCCACCATCTCTCGCTTGCTGCTGGAGAAATCCCCCGCCACCGCCGAGCGTCTGCATGGGCTCTTCTTGTTGGCCTTCGGTCGCGGCAACCCAGCCGCCACTACTGGCTGCATCCGCCACGACGCTGCCAGGCTCCTTCTCCTTTATCGACTCCTCCACCAGGGCCGCGAATCGTGAGACCTGCAGTTGCAAACTTGCAAGCTCCGCATCGCTGCCCTCCTACACCGGCGGGCGGATCTGTTCTCCGCTCGCTGCCCTCCTGCACTGGCGGGCGGATCTGTTCTCCGCTCGCAGCAGTGCGCNGTCTGCATGGGCTCTTCTTGTTGGCCTTCGGTCGCGGCAACCCAGCCGCCACTACTGGCTGCATCCGCCACGACGCTGCCAGGCTCCTTCTCCTTTATCGACTCCTCCACCAGGGCCGCGAATCGTGAGACCTGCAGTTGCAAACTTGCAAGCTCCGCATCGCTGCCCTCCTACACCGGCGGGCGGATCTGTTCTCCGCTCGCTGCCCTCCTGCACTGGCGGGCGGATCTGTTCTCCGCTCGCAGCAGTGCGCTCTTCGTCTCCAGCAGAGTTCATTCCAATGTGGCTTCCCTCGAGGGGCAAAAAACTCTAGAGTGTTTGCCGCCGACGCCACATATTTATCGGGTGAGACTGTTTCGGTGATGTTAACTTTACGAGTGGTAGACGACCGTCCTTCACACGGACGAAAGAGGGAGTGCTCGAAGAGCGGCTCCCACAGCAAGGAGGGGCCCCGTGAATCATCGCGGTGCCCCCTACCAAACGGCATTCTTACCAGTCTGCGTGACACCAAATCATCCAGCACATGAGAGTTACTTAAAACTCAATTATTTGCCCAAATGCCCGCACAGTCCCGCGAATTTGGCAAATATGAGTTTCAAATGTCAGCTTTGTTTGGGGTGAAAAACACCATAACGACCAAAAAAATNAAAATAATTTGGACCTAGCCCGCCAAGGCACGGCACAGCACCTGAACCACTCTAGCGAAGAGCACGCACGCCCCCCACCAAGCGCCACCACACACGCTGTACAACATCGCCGCCCTCCTGGAGACAGCCTTCACATCGGTAGATCATGAGCTCCCCTGGCAACCTTGAGTGCAGCGGTGCGCACCCCCCAGCGGCTCCTCAAATGTCCAGCTCCACGAATGTCCTCGGCAAGCGCCATGCGGAGGAGGCCGTGACCAGGGGGAAACCGCCACGGCAGAGAGCGGTGAGCCCTGTTGGACATGGGGGTAATGACCCGAAGCTTGTGCTTCCCGCCTCTCACCACAGCAGCAGCCAGGCTGCACAAGCACCGTATCATCTCCGTCTGCGTACACCAACAACAGCATGGCAGTGTACAGCGGCAGCCTCCTCAACAGCAGCAGATGCCGCAGCAGTACCCTGCACCCCAAGCTCCCAACTACGGTCAGGAGTTAATGGCTCATCAGTACTACCCAACTACACAACAGCAAGTACTACCAGGACATGTCTCCCCGACGGAAGCTCCGGGATCAACTCCGCCCCAGCTCAGCGTTTCCCATGCTGGCCAGGTAACGGCGGCGACAGCGACGGCAGCAGCCGCCGCTTCTGCCCCTTC